CAGTCAGCACATCCTTTCGTTGTCAGCCTCGAAAGATGTCGAACAGCACTTTATCAAGACTCCTACATCCATAGAACGGCTAGGCTCTGGAATTCATTGCCTGTGGAAATATTCCCAACAACTTATAATCTCCAAAAGTTCAAAAAAAATTCCAATACCTACCTCCTGTCCCTATCCTCCCTAGGAACGCACGATGTTCTTTGAACATTATAGGGATTCCCTTTCGTGCGCCCCCCCCCCAACGATAAAAAAAAGTTACACCCTTGAGTACATTGGTTAGACCTCTAGCGCTGGCGAGATGAGCGACTGTGAACTACTTTTTGTTAGAGATCGGGCAATCAAGGGTTGCAGAAATGCAGAATATATACTTACTTATTCGAATAAGTTTATTTTCGGATGTTCATATTTTATGCAAGAAGGAATGTTGGATCAGGGCCGAATTAAAATATTTTTATTATTTATAAATGTCAGGATATCAAAGCTATATATATATATATATATATATATATATATATATATAATAAACTAGGGAATATTGGGGACTGCAGCAAAGTCAAAAAGAGTACTCTTTAAAGTTGGTCCAAGCTTTCGAAAATCTTTATTTTCATCATCAGGGAGTCTGTAAAGTGATTATTCATGAGTATCATGTAGTTAAAGTAATGAAATCTTTGTGTACTTACAACTTTGTTGAGGATGGCTGACATGATGTTCATGTATAATTTCTTTATGTGTCTTGGTAACATAACATGAAAAAGCCGAAAAGTCATCGATAAAAATACAAATACATTACATTGAATCACACGTTAAAATATTATAAACTAGTTAAAAGTCACATCTTCCACCACATGGTTGTAATTGTTAGCAGATAAGGTTATTGCAAATGGTGCCGGGAAATGAGTTTTTTTGAAAAATGAATATGACTGACATATGACAGTGTGTGTGAAGACAATTGTCATGTCAAAATGCACAAAACAGTGGTACCAACAGACAATGCGTACCAACGTTGAAACTGAAATTTGAATTGATTATGAGTTATCTAAAGACAGTAAAAAGGAATAAAGCTCACTCAAATGATTGATATCCGTTTTTTTATTTATGCAATTATTGCATTGTGATATATATATATATATATATATGTATAGAAAGGACTTGCTGTTCCCTTAGCGCTGCCTACGAACCAGCCTCCCAAGGACTAATAAGACCAATAGGCCTTTGCATTTAGACCGTTGATTGATATATTACGCTTACGCTAAGCGTAATACATATATCAATCAACGATTTAGATGACAAATGACTATCTCTGTTACTCTGTTTACATCTCGCATCCGATGACGGTGGCGGCCATTTTCACCGATACACTTATGATCTAATAAGCTTACACCACAGTACCACACTCCACAGTAACGAATGAGTAACGTGTTTTGGAATTAAATTATTATAGTACAATTAATACACAATATACACATCAGGAATATAAAAACAAAAGTACTATGTTGTTATTGTTGTTTCTCAATGACGAATGTCCATAGTGGTTGACATTTGACAGAACGTTAATAATACCCAAGGATGTTTGACTTATTTCACTAGTACAGTCAAACATCCTTGAATAATACCTGCCATATTCGAAATGGCCAATCAGCATTTGTTGGAACTACCTAGTACCTATAGCCGATGAGAATCATCCAATGAAATTTTGGATCTAATAACGAGCGCATGCGTCTTAAAAATATATGAGTGTGTTTCATCTATGTCTAGATGAAAAGGTATATTTTGGATACAATGAAGGCATGGCGCGTATTCTTGCCAAGCATAGAGGTTGATCTATATTACTTATTAGTGTGTTAATATCCAAGGGAAACATTCAAATCTCAATGATTCATCTCAAGGTTGTTAGAGCTCATCTTAGTAGAGCTACAAATAATCATCAGTTCTACCAACCTTGATTCACCTCTTATAGATCGCCATCTATAAGTGTACCATAGAACTAAAGCCTCACTGACCCGCGATCAGTTGCGCTGTTTAGAGTGCTCTGCAAAGATTTATGGTAGAAGTGTGTTGCTGGAATAGATATTTAGTTGAACTACCAAACCGAAGATGCCGTGACAATGTCATATTGTGGCAAGGTTGGTAGTAAAATATTCATCAGCTCTACCAACCTTGCATTGTTGGAATTTTAGGTGAACTGTTCTCTGCTGAGTGCTGACACCTCTCACTTCTGTAACAGTATCAGGAAAATATACAACTGAAAATCTTCTCAAATATACCAATACCAGGTATATACAGAGCAGTTCAAGGATACTACAGCTACTACCAGGTTCTTGTTACATCTCATTCTAATAGATGTCGCTGTACGAATTATCTTTAAAATGGAAATAGGAACTCATTAGAATTTCATTAAACACTATCAAAAATTAATGTACTTACACCATTACTGTATTTTTTTTATCGTGGTTGTCGTTATTTGGTCCTATGATCTATGATCATTAAAAATTTGACGATATCAGATCCTCTTACGGATTTTCTATGAACAAGTGTCGTCATGTTTTTAACCAATGTAACCTAGGCATAAGAACACCATATTCTTATAAACATCGTCGTTATCTTAGATCATACAGGAATCTAAGGTCGTTATACACAAGTGGATCGCGACAGGAGGCTGTCGCAAGTCACTGGCGCTGTTACTGCCGCCAGAGATTAGTTCTGTGGTTGACTAATCTCTGCTGCCGCTGAAACTAATGGCTGTCGCTGGCACCGATGACTGTCGCTGCCGCTGATGACTCTTTTGGCATAGCTCTCAAACTCTGCAGAGAGTTTCTGCACCGTCATCCATATTTGACTAACAACGCATGACTGTATTTTCTAACACAGATTAACAAAAGGTTTGGTAATCTGTGACTTTATCGTGCACACGATGCGAGATTGAATTCTTTTTTCGAACGTAAATTACCAAGTGCGAGCACGTGGTACAGTGATCGAACCGTCAGTTTGCCACGCCTGCGGCCCGAGGTTTAGTCCTCGACTCCTCGTGGAGGACAACTTTTTTTTTCATTTTGTTTTCTCAATTTATTTTCTGAATTTTTAACAAACAAAGTTCATTTAGGCCCAGTTGGGTTAGAGTGTTTAGAAATAATAGTTTTGTTTGTTCTCTCTAGTAATTTTCTAGGAAGGTTCGATCATTAATTAGGTCGAACTAGGTTAGATTGTTTGAAATAGTAGTCTTCTTTGTTCTCCGAAGAACATAGTTTTTAGGAAGGTTCATTAGGCAGAGTTAGGTTAGACTGCTAAGAAAAAGTAGTTTCTTCTGTTCTGTTGAGTAATTTTCGAAAAATATGTTTTTTAGAAGGAAGGTTCATTTCACAGGTTTATTCAGGACGTGTTAGGTTGAATTTTTCAGAAAAAGAAGTCTATTTTCTTATACAGACAGGATATTTACATTTATCTTCCCCATATTATACTTTATTAGGTATATAGAGATAAATAGACACAAGCTCAGTCATTTCCAGGAATGATCATAAAATGAAAAACAATGTTAATTCACGGAACAAGCTCAATTGTATGAGTGCCACACTTTGACCGTTCATTATATATTGATATGAGTTATATGGTTGAAATGCACATTGTACGTTGACGTTAACGTACGGAAAATAACGCCTACGAATTCAGTTGAAGTCATCAGTGTCACCGTAACGTATTTGATAAAATAATTTTTTATGGTTTTTATTGGTCCTTTCTGTCTCTTTTTTTTATATGAACATTTATCGGTACTTAAATGAACGGAATTCTTAATGCAGATGGACTTAAGACATCCTCACTTCAACAACTCTATCGGCATATTTTGGTTAACGTACTATTCAAGGTATACTCGAAAGTAAGCAAGATAACGTACACCGTACACACGCAATGAACTCGATGTAAACTTGAGTTCAATGTACACACGTAAGCTCACTACCAACGCAAACGTCACGTTTACGTTGACGTTCATGACAGCACTACAACTCCAGTGTTGCCAATAATTGCGCTTTTTAACTTCGTTTTGCGCCATTGCGATTTTTAGAAAATAATTGCACTTTTTTCTTCTTTTCATTTCGATTTGCTGTTTAGCACTTCCAACAACCTTTATAGAAGATAAAAAGTTAGTTGGGTATGTCAAAAACTTTTGTAGTGAGACCAGTTTAATACTTGAAAATGAGGGTGGGTTCTGGCCAGTGGTGTGAAAAACTACAGAGACACATTCAATACCTTTATTACTATTACTGTAAAAGTGAATGAAATCATCTTGAAGACCATTTTGGGATCAACAGAAATAAAAGAACAATCAATTAATACACAAAAAAAAATCGAACATGCACGTAATAGCAGAACACTCTTCTTTACAAAACTATCGCACTAACCTATCCTAATCACAAAGATGAACAATGAATATAATTGGTATCAATAATTATGTAAACATGGAAAAATGAAGACTGGAATATTAATTAAAACCCTGATGATTCTCGATTTACATTTATCAACTTCAGCTGTTGATTCTCATCAGTGATATCAATAATTAATAGGTTCTCAGAACTCATAAATTATACAGGGTGTTTCCTGAACAGGTGCATGAAAACAATTCAGGGGGTGATTCTTATGACACTTAAAAAAAAGTTCCCATACTGGATAAAATCAAGAAATAACATTCAGTTAATACATAGGTAACAAAAAATTATCAAAACCTTGGAAATGTTTACAGTGTTTGCCTTATTTCTTCAACCTTGAAATTTTTATACATGCCAGAAATGTTTGGCATTAAAAAAATCAATAGGCCATTGCAATTTTCGATTTTTGAACGAAACGCTCTGGATTTGAAAAATGATGATATTTTAAAATCACAATAAAACTAGTTCTTAAATGCCTGTTGAAAAAAAGCAAATCAGTAGTGCACCTATATCGCAGCACTATCCCCATCGACTCATCGAAACCGTCATGAAAACGTCACTAAAGCATCATGAATGCGCTGAAAAGCCGAAAAAATGGGAGAAAACGTAACGAAAGCGACAGGCATATGCGTCAAAACGTCGAGAAAATGTGAAAATTGTGTGCTGCAAGCGTGACGTTGTCGTGACAGTCTAGTCTTTTCGACGTTTTGACGCATACGTGACGCTTCCGTAACGGTTCTTTTTTTCTGTTATGCTTATGACGTTTGCGAGCTCGCATAATTCGTATGGGTGAAATACGGGTCGATTGGGCTGTCATAGGTGCACTAATACGTCACCAAGCGTCACGCATGCGTCGAAACAGAAAGCACTGAAAAACCGTAAATAAAACGTCAGGCATGAATCAAAGCGTCAAAAAAACGTGGAAAATGTGTTGACGCACACGTGACGCTTTCGTGACGATATTTCAACGTCTTTTCGGCGGCTTTCGAGGTTTCCACGCATGTGTCACGTTTTAGCGATGTTTGTGACCTAATGAATTCATACTCATATGGAATGATTCGAATGTCAAAAAAAAATAGCTGAATAAAACGTGGAGGAAAGGGGATGTGACGACAATATGCCTAAAAATGGGGTTGCGATTATCAACGACACACACTGTATATTTGTTTAGTTCTGATTCTGATGAATCAACGGCAATTCAAATCAAACCTATACGATAATGCTGATGTATACGAATGTGATCATTTCTCTGTTTATTGACATTCAACTTACATCCAGTACAAGGTGTTCCAACAAAACATGGCCCCGTTGAACTCATTTTTTCAAAAGATTTGGCAGATTTCGTTGGCACGCCTCGTATAATCCCGAATCGATTTCGTTATTACCAACTATAGAGGTGCGAATATTGTATTCAGAGATACTTTTTATCGCGAAAAAAATCTAACGTTTATACAGGATTGGTATATTGATAGATGGACAAACGCTAACTGGATTCAAAATATTTTTTTTTCTCATGTTTGAAGCTGTTTGTTATTTTTTCACACATGTTGAGTGATAGCGGTATTATTTCCTCCCCTCCTGTAAAATTTTAGCTTTGGCATGTAACTTCAACTAAAACAAATTCGCTAAAAATCAAGAAAAATAATTTTGGATTCTTTGTGGTTCCTATACTCATCACAAAAATACTAGTACCTTGAAACTAAAACATTAACAAAAACTTTCTTAATATAAGACCACTCATACTAATTTTCAACTTGTAACTTGCAGCTTTCCAAAAAAAATATTTTCAACCTGTACACAAATGTACACCCGTGTCTCACTAGATAGAGTTGAAGTCAAAGATTGTCCAGTCAGCGATATGTCCAACAATATCACCACCAACGTAACACCTGCGCACGCGCATAGCTAAAACGTAAAAATAGTTTACGCAGAAAGTTTAGTACTTCCTCAAATTGGAGCTGAATCTAGAATCGGGATAGCTGTTGATGCCCGGCGGTGGGGGACAAATGGGTCCCATGCTGGAGTTCCCAGAGAAGGGTCTCGTCGTTCCTTGCGGGCCCGGCCACCTGAAAGAAAGCAACGAAACAGGTGTCAGAGACCATCAGATACCGACAGAAACATGCGGCAAGGACGATAACAATCTTTTCATTTAGACGAATTTTTGAGGAGCATATTCTCTCTCTTTCATCTTTATCTCGCCCCATTTCTCTCTCGCTCTCTTTCTGTCTCGCTCGCTCTCTTTCTCTCTCTCTTACTACTTGAGTTAGATCAACCCTACCGGGTGATTTTTCAAGGTGGCTAACCCCTATAACGTTTTTATTATTGGAGGTAGTAGTAACAAAATTATGGGCTGTGGATTATAGTTCAATTGACACTTTCTAACATATCTTTTTCCAAATGGAAGACCTGTATTTCGGATTATATCATGACGAATTCAACGATACCTGGTTTGATAAGGTTAGGTATATGTAAACTTCGAATTCAAATATCTTCATAATCGTTTGAAATAACCCTATCAAACCCGGTATCGTTGAATGTGTTGATCATAATCCCTAGCAATTATGGAATAAAATGGAGGATGTTCTATTTAAAAATCGAAAGTTGGGGTAATTTCTGGTCAAACTGGAAGTACGACAAAGCAAGGAAATATGTCAAATAATGTCAATTGAACTATCATTTACAAATCGCCGAATTTCGTTTCACTACCTTAAATAAGAGGAAACTTATAGGGGTGAGCCATCTTGGAAAATCACCTGGAATGTTTCTAAAACCTTACCACTCATGCTACAATGAAGTGTAAGAATATGAAGTGGAATTCAATTAAAAAAAAACAAGTTTCATTCTGTTCCGTTTTCATATAGAACCCAGTATAATAGTTCTAATATAAATCCATAATTGTGCAAATCACTTCATTATCACATTTATTGATACAATTTGAATTAGTGCGTGATGATTCTTCCGGTCATTTATGCCCCTACTGGATCACAGCCCACACTACGCATGTGTGTACCAGGGGACGGCGTCTTTCGCTAAAAAAAGGCAACGGCTTCAGGACGGGTCCGGTTCAAAGCACGAATTGAAAAGGCTCCAATTACCTCTAATAACATTGTTTCGATTCTACTATTCACAAAACAGCATTTTGAAGAGATCCGACAGCTCAACAGGTGAGTGGCCATATATCAACCTCTTGTCGTTTGAAACCTTCATAGTCAAATTTACAGTTCACTGTCTCTTTCTCGCACACATTCCATGAAACAAAAAAATTAACTCGCCGCACCTAACGATGGTTCCTATATCATGTCACTTGAATTGTCATCTAAATGAAAAGGCTATTACGCTTCTGATTTGGAAATACAGGGGAGCAAATTGAAACACACTAAATATCAACAAATTCCCCACCGACTTCAAACATTTTAAAATAGTAATGTGTAAGAACAAATCATGATCATTTCCACAGCGTTTATCAAGATACCATTTATACATATGGTCCACATTTTCCTTTTTTCCACTCTGAGGGGATTTATTAATGAATAATATATTTTAAAAAATTCATCCTTCATCTAATTCAGATGATTTGAAATTTTTTCCACGTGTTTACTGTTCAACTCTTAATTCCCACCATATTCTAGTTATCCACGGAACAATTTTTTTGTCCAAAATATGTTCCCCGGGATATTAAAAGTTTGAGAGATAATTTAGAGTTTGTTCCTACACATCACCATTTCACTATATTATGAGTTATTATTAGAGTAAGTATTTCAAAATAGCTTAGTTTCGTTATGTTCCGAAGTTGAATGAAACAAGTTGTCTTATTGGGGTCAGTGGAGGAAAGCGCTGAAGTGATAGGAGGAGGGTGATGTGGTGAAATTATTGAGAGTGAGGAGATGCTGTTATAATTCTCACATTTACACACTACTTTCTAATAACACAGGACATTCGATGGATATACAATTCAAGTCATAAAATAGGTTTGGATGTCCATGAACGAGAATTGTACATACATCGATTGGATGAACCTAAATGCCTTTCCAATGGAACACCACTGACACTATTTCAATGGATGTCAAGCTCAAGCTCAAAAAAGGTCTAGGTGTTCATACACATGAATTGTACATTTCTGTTTTTGTTATGAAGAATTATGTTTATAAGCCGGATTCATGCAAGGTTAGAGTGAGGAGATGCTGTTACAATTCACTCATTCACACACTACTCTACAATGACAGAAAATCCGATTAAAATCCAGTTCAAGTTCAAGAAAGGTTCGGATGTCCACGAATGAGAATTGTACATCCATTGGATGGATCAAAAGGCCTTTTCAATGGAACATCACTGACGCTATTTCGACGGATGCCCAGTTCCGTGTTGGGTCGGATTAGAATAGCCCCACAGTAAGTCCTGCCTATCGTAAAAGGCGACTTACAGGACGGCAACAGGTGGAAGATGACTAAGGCCATCGCCCGGTGCGATACCACCACATCAACCTTAGGCACTGTGAAATGGGTTATACCCGTGTTTCAGTAGCTGGTTGATGATTCCGGCCAACCCAATCCTATTTTATTTTCTTCCACGCCCACCTCCTTCTCCTATACAGAAAAAGCGTTGATGAATTCTCCGCAAGTAAAATTATCAGGAAGTAAAATAAACTCTCCATTTGAATTTCCCTGTGAAAGGTGCTAGAGGGGGTTCACCATCGGCTGAAAATGACCTCGAGATAGACCTATGTAACATCCGCGGTCTAAGTGAGAACATCAACGATGTTTATCGACACCTCCAAATTGAAAAACCAGACATATTGGCTCTGACTGAGACACAGGTCAATTCATCTACCAACACGGCCTATTTGCTTTGTCCTAGGTACGAACTGCATACACGCTTCAGGTTCAAGGGAGGCCTCTGCATTTCTTCCAGAACAAATCTCTCATGTCATCGAAAAAAAAAAAAACTTTGGAACCAAATAATTTTGCTGTTACTCGATAGCCAGAAATAGACCAAATTTCTTTTTTGTCCCTACTTATCACCAAATAATCCATCCTATGGCGAGTTCTTCAAATTTTTGTCTCTGAAGCTTGACCAAATTCAACAGAACCATCCAGCAGCCGAAATTATCATCATAGGCGATTTCAATGTACACAACACTGCTTGGCTCGTAAACTCCAACAAAACGGATGAAGCTGGGCGACAAGCCGAATCATTCGCCATCACTAATGGCTTAGAGTAGCTTATCAAGGAACCCACTCGAATTCAGGATGTCATTAACCATGCAGCCGACACACTTCACTTGTTCCTCACTAATAATTCAGCACCTTACATCATAGAGCTCCACTTGGCAATTCCGACCACACACTCATCTCCACAACCTGCCCATTGTTCATTCCATCAACTGCTCCGGCACTCCCACGACTTGTATGGCATTACAATTCAGGAGACTGGGACGGTATCCGCATGTTTTTCTCAGAGTTTCCTTGGCACAGAATATGCTTTGACTCTGAGGATCCTTCACAGTATGCTGCGGAAATATCCGAGATCATCGCGCTTGGAATGGACACATACATACTTCATTCTTCGAAAAGATCATCACCTTCGATACCCCGGTTAAACAAAAACTGTTCTAGAGCAGTTGCCTTCAAACAAACAGCCTACCATCGCTGGCGCAAAAACCCTAACCTCGCGACTAGAGCAAAATACGTTGAAGCCAGGAATAACTGCAGCCAAATAATAGATGCATCAAAAGAAACATACAATGCCAAAATGAGATCGAAACTCATAGATTGTCGCAATGGACCCCGTTCGTTTTTGTCCCTCGCTAAAGCAGTTGGAAGGAATTTCACTAATAGTTCATTTCCACCAATCTCCAAAGCTGATGGCACTTCAGCAACATCGCAGCAGAAAGCAAACATTTTTGCAGCAAACTCTACTTTAGATCCCCAAGGAAAAGTGCCGCCCAATATTTCACCAGTTGAATGTCGAATGCCCGAAATCGTCTTCCGTCAACGCACTATCAGACGCCTTTTGCTTCGTCTCGAAACGAATAAGGCTAACGGTCATGATGGAATTCCACCTATTAACTTTAAAAATTGTGGACCAGAATTTACACCTATTCTCTGCTAGTTATTTACCATCTCGTAACAAAACGGGTATAATTCCATCATGCTGGAAGAAAGCTAGAGTCCAACCAATCCCCAAAAAGAGAACAAAAACCTGTCCAACAACTACAGACCTATTGCTCTGTGATCAGTAATCTCCAAAGTGATGGAGAAAGCCATCAACATTGAGCTTATCCAATATCTGGAAAACTCAGGAATCATCAATGATAGACAATATGGCTTTCGCCACCCAAAATCAACTAGAGATCTACTTGCCTACGTCATCCATATATGGCAAGCTTCATCAGGAAAAAAACATGGGGAATCTCTGGCTGTGGCGTTATATATCGAAAGCATTCGACCATGTTTGGCACCAAGGACACCTTCACAAACTACCCTCATATGGCTTACCATCTCAGCTATGCCATCTCTTATCGAGTTTTCTTTCAGGAAGATCTCTCGAGGTGGTGGTGGACGGTGTATCCTCTGATACCATTGCCATCAATTCCGGCGTCCCACAAGGATCACTTTTGGCACCAACTTTGTTCCTACTTCATATCAATGATCTCTTATGAGCAACCACTTGCCCTATCCACAGTTTTGCAGATGATAGTACTCTCCATACTGCGTTCTCTTCCAGAATTCCTATTTCCTCACAGGAAACTAAGAACTCAATGAAGATGGGGAACCAACAACCTAGTTGAATTCAACGCCGCGAAAACTCAAGCCTGTATTTTCTCAAGAAAGGCGGAACTCAGTATGCCTGATATAACAATGTCTGATACCAACATTCCCACCAAGTCAACTTCTATGCTCGGTATCTCCATCAGCAATACTCCTTCAAGGGATCGTCATCGCCAAAGCTGCTTCACAAAAACTCGGATTAATATTCCGTACGAAAAGCCACTTCACACCTCAACAGTTTCTCATGATTTACAAAGCACAGATAAGACCTGTTCTAGAATACTGTTCTCCCATATGGGGTTATACACCCAAACATACTCTGATGCTCTTAGATTCCATCCAAAGAGCCACTCGCCTGGTGGACTAACACTTTGACATCATTGGAATACTGTATGAAAGGTCGGCGACCTTTCGCTTTTTTAGATACTTCCACGGGAGATGTTCTTCAGAAATCTCGACTTTCATTCCACGACTAGCAATACCAGCCATTCAGTCAGCATATCCTTTCATTATCACCTCGAAATATGTCGTACAGCACTATATCAAAACTCGTTTCTCTATCGAACAGGAAAGCTCTGGAGTTCATTGCCTGAGGTCGTTATTTCAAGAACTCATAATCTCCAGAAATTAAAAAAAAATCAACACCTACCTCCTCTCCCTATCCTCCCTAGGTACGCACGACGTTCTTTGAACATTATAGGGATTCCCTACCGTGCGCTCCAAGCGGTAAAAATCAATTTAAAAAGGCCCGTATAATAATGGACATGAATTGTACATTCATTACATTTTCACTAGACAAAAAGTATTCCGTTAGATGTTAGATAACTAGTGGGCATGGTTATTATTTGAGGATAGGTATGTTTTTCTTTCTTCAATAATTCTCTAAAAGAATCACACGTTATATGGTTATATGATTTTAGTAGCGATTCACTTTTCTCAATTTACTTATGTGATGAAAATGTAATTATAATAAACGTTGCATGAATCAGTCTTTCTAATATTGTAAAATATAATTTCGACTGTATTATTATCCTAGGACTAATAAAGCTTTCATTTTTGATATTTCTTTGGGACTCTCGAGACAAAAGCATAAAAAAAGCAAATGAGACACTGTCCGAAACTGGCCCATTGAATGAATAATCCATGTTCAGTACTTGTACAACTCATGTCCAATTATAGTCCAAACTTGTGACCTCTAGATGTACAATCGACATCCATGAGACGACTGGACATTATGGGCCATTTATTGTATATCCTGTGTGTCCATGCACACAACAGTGAATCGAACGTGACTATTCCACCTCCGCCAGAAAGCATTCGAATAATGTATATTCATTATCACATTTCTTTCTGTATGCTACGATGTACATTATCAATTATTTTTATGAAACTCAAATCCACACGTGACACACTTTTTTGGGTCATGCACGGTACATAAATATGACACAGTGTAAATTGAAAGAAAACTCAATTTTAGATAAATAGAGCTAAGATTATAGTCACCATATTATAAAGTAGTTAATGAATCAAAAGAGAAGGAACGTACTTTGACACCCCGATGCTGTTTACTCTAGAGGCGACACTTGGCTTCAGATTCCTTCAACAAAAAATACAAATCAAAAGATCTGATCGAAAATAACAGTGTAATGATATTCCTGGAATTTCTAGAATATTCAAGATCATCGACATCAGAACATTCGCGACCTTTCTAGAGAATTCCTTAAACATTAGAGAACATATATGAACATTCGAGAGCATTCCAGAACATTCCTGAAATGGTCAGTAAATTGGGGAACATTTTGGAACATTCCTCCGAAATTTATAGGGCACTTGAGGTTATTTTAAAACATAATCGAAACATTCGAGAGCACTCTTGAACATTCGAGAACATTCCTAAAATTTTCGGAATATTAGAGAATATTTGAGATCATTCTAGAAATATTCGAGAGGATTTCTGAAAAATCCAGAATACTTCTAAACATCCGAGAGCATTCGAGAATATTGATATTTTCTAGAACTTTCCCGAAATCTCTTGAAACATTCAAATCATAGAACATTCTTGAATAATTTGAAACCATTCTTGAATATTCCCGAAATCTCTAGAAATATTCCAGATTCTAGAACATTCTTGAAAAATTTGAATGCATTTTTGGACATTTAAATTTCTAGAACAGTAAGGAACATTCCTTAAATTTACAGAACTATGGAGAACATTCTAGAACACTCATGAGATTTTGAAAACGCGAGATTTTGAAAACGCTTGAGAATATTCCTGGTACATTACTCATTTATAGAATATTCCCCAACAGAACCAGATTATTTCCATATCCAGAGAAAGCTTCCTACAGCCAATTTTCACCCCCTTAACTTCCCCCCACACAACACACTCACACAATAATAGATGTTATGGAGATGATACGATGCCTACGAATATTTTGGGTTTTTTAAATCATACAGGATGATACACGTCCAAATAAAGAATAAGAATAGATTCCGGAAAAACAATCCGACATATTTTTTCCGACATATAGGGCATTAATTCAAAAATGTTCACGAATATTTTGATCGGCACACAGGGTGGTACATATCGTGAGTAAAATCGAGGCAAAAATCTACTAGATTGGACATACAATTTCAGTAAGTACTAACTTAGGTCAAGGGTAATTCTGATGTCAACATGGAAGAATCTTAAAAACAGGGACCTGAACATGAACTTTCTCCACTAAAAGATTTCAACACCTATAGGTAGACTCATCACAGATTTCCAGCAGATAACATGTTCAAGAACAACTGTAAACACTTCACAAACGACAAGATTTCCACAAAATTCTCATACACACGACATGTTTCGTTAACACAGTAGCTTCATCCATGTGATATACTGGTACAATGAAGTAAACTAACCTTGGCTTGCGTAACTTTTATATATCCTACTTTCCCAAACTGAAGGATCAGTTACCTGTGTACAGGTTCGAAGAACTTTCATTTTCGGGAATTAGGCACAATATCTACATTAAAAGATGGTGTACCGGATCAACTTGAAAGGGTTGATAGCAAATACATATTATTACCTTTTTTATGTTCTGGCTCCCACGAAATGGGATATCCTGTAATGTTCAGAGAACATCGTGAGAACCAAGGGAAATGAGGTAGGAATTGGTGTTCTTCATAAAATTTATGGAGGTTATATGCCTCGGGGTACACCTCCCTTGGCAATGTGTTCCAGAGCCTCGCTGTTCGTTGGATGAACGAGTCTTTGGAAATAGATGTTCTGCAGGTCTCGAATGTGACCACGAAGGGGTGCGAAGCCTCAACTCGACGGGTCGAGGAGACTGCCAAGGGAGGAACAATTGTTGATATTTCAGAAGAGGATCTTCCATGAAAATATCTATAAAATAGAACCAGATCGCCAACTTTTCTACGGTGCTCCAGAGAAGTGAGTGAGTTTGTGAGCAAGGCATCACCCACGAGACGAAATGCCCTTTTTGAACAGGATCCAATAATTTCATGGTATGTTTGGGTGCTGCACCCCAAATATGGGAACAGTATTCCAGGACAGGTCGGATCTGTTCCTTATAGATCATAAGCAGCTGACTGGAAGTGATATAGCTCCTGGCCCAAAACAGAAAACCAAGTTTTTGGGCTGCACTTTTAGCAATTGAACTCACGTGATTTTCCCAAGAAAGGTTATTGCTGATAGTAATACCAAGCATCTAAATGGATGTATTCAAAGGTATGGTTACTCATGACAAGCTTATGTTGGGCACAGTGAGATCGGCTTTTTTAGGGAAAAAGCATGCTTGTGTTTTGTTTGCATTGAAATCTACCAAGTTATTGGATCCCCATTCGAGAATTGTTGTCAAGTTCATATTTATGCTGTCAACATTTCTCCCTCGTTCGTTTCTGATTTGCCTGGCTGGTATTGGAGCCCTGGAAGGGAAGGCGGTATGGAGGGTACTATCATCCGCGAAGCTGTGTACTGGACATGAAGTTGCTCCCAACAAATCGTTGATATGGAGTAGAAATAGTGTTGGTGGTAGAATTGATCCTTGCGGAACACCAGAATTTATGATAAGAGAGTCAGATGAAACTCCGTCGACCACTACATGAAGACCTGTTTGAAGGAAAACTAGCAAGCAGAGAACATAGCTGGGGAGGCAAGCCATAACATGGGAGCTTGGCGAGAAAACAGATTCGACAGTGGTGAACTATTGAGGTCTAGTTGATCGTTAAGTAAAATGTCCGAATTTTTGTTTGTTGATTTCTACATAAACAGGACTTGAAAGTAGCATTAGAACAAATAATATGTTGGGTTGGGAAGGTTCATCACAAATAATAAAGACAAAACTTCTAAATTCGAAAAGTCAGGGGTACACAAAGTCAACTGTGGATCTTGTTCTAAGGTATATATCGGTCAGCATGTCGTACGTTCAATCAGCGCATTCATGAACACAAGATGAATTTTTTGAAAAAGAAAACAAATTCAACATACGCCAACCATATATTAGAAGAAAACCATAGTTTTGATGATAATTTCATTCATTAGAAATCAACAAACTCAAAATTTCTGACATTTCACTTAACGATCAACTAGACCTCGATAGTTTACCACAGTTGAATTTGTTTTCTTAGCAGGTAATAATTTATATTTGCTATCAACCCTTTCACGTTAATCCGGTACACCGTATTTATAATGTAAATATTGTGCCTAATTTCCGAAAATGACGGTTTATGGAACCTGTACACAGGTAAATAATCCTTCAGGTTGGGAAAGTAGGATATATAATAGTTAGGCAAGCCAAGGTTAGTTTGTTTCATTGTACCAGTATATCACCTGATGGAACTACTGTGTTAGCGAAACATGTCGTGTGTATGAGAACTTTGTGGAAATCTTATCGTTTGTGAAGTTTTTACATTTGCCATGGATTTTCATGGAATAACGGCCGAGTCAATTCAAAAATTCAAGAAAAACAGCTATCATCTTTACTTCTAGAAAACGATGAGCTGGAGCTTCTATGTCTATTATTTTGATATTCTCGTTACATTTTTCAAATAATTTTTTCTTTATGTTGCTAAAAAGCCATGTCATAAACTTTATTACTTGTTCGGATGGTTTCAGACTGTTTATTGTATGAATGCGACAAAACCTAATGTGGGTTTATTGAGTTCTCAACCCAGTCGGTTCTGATTCCTCATTTCAGAACTCGGAAAGTAGATGTTTGTAGGAAGAAACAAACTATAACCTTTTCACTGTTAACTAAAGGAAGTTTATTAGATGAACCTTTTTCTACAAAATCCGAATCAAGTTTATTCATATTGAATACTTCAAGATGCAGATATCACAAAGAATAGAATAATCTGAAAACTGAAGATCATCCGGTGACTGGTTAGGTTGAAAAAGTTCTATTGATTCTTTCATCAGCAGTACTCAAAAATGTACCACCCATGTATGTAGTCATTTAACTTCAATCACCCTGTACATGTATGTTCCCTTCTTCAACAGGCTTGTAATCATTGAAGACAAGTGACATTTTTCAAGGAATCAGCATTATCAGTATTATCACTAATATTATAACTTTTCTGAAATATCATTATGAATCTTTGAATCCAATTTCAGACTTCCTCGTGACGTGGGTATTTCATTTAGCGTCACAAACCAATCCGAATAACCTCACTATAGTTCATGTCACCGTTCTTGACTCACATAAACCAATCTGATGGTGATAGTTTATAATTTGGTACTGATTGATGTAGAACAGGAGTGCTCAAACAGTCGATCGCGAGAGCTTTTAGAATCGATCGCGAAAAAATGTAGTGACTCTGCCTAGAACACTTCAATTTACTGCTACAAACCTTATACAGACTCAAGATGGTTGAACCGAGTAATATTTTTAGAAGGATTTTGAGAACTAATAGTCACGGAGATGCTTAAAAATGAAAAATTGCTTCATGATTTAGCTTCACTGTCGGATGTGACAAAGCATTTGAATATCATCAATTTGGAATTACAGAGGGAAAAATGACACCATTACCGATAGGGCCAGCACAACAAATTCATTCACAAATAAATTGGAATTACTGATTAATCAGCAAATCAAAAGGACCCTATACATTTGTCAGCTCTGAGCTGACAAGTTCTCTCTCAAATTATGAGACTGTATACGAAATGCACCTACGAACCAATCAAAGCGAATTTTCTGATTTCAAGTAATTGATAACGAATGTTGTTACTTTGAAGACGACGATAAAAAATGTCTACTGAAATATCTCCACAGAACAAAATGAAGTATTCAAGACAATTTCAGTAATGCATCTTAAACCCAGAGCATCAGCCGATACAAAATTGGCCTTTCATTCCAAAACAAACATGCGTGTCACAATTGTAAATACCTATTTATCTTCATTCCTATCACTATTATTTGAATTTTTTGTCTAGATGATCTCACTTCTGAATAATTAGAATGTATAGAAAACTTATGTACTTACTGTTATAATAAACTATCAATGACTTTATATCTTAGACAAATAAATGAATAAATGAATAAAAAGAAAAAAACAAGTTACTGCAATCTATTGGCAGTGATAGTGACAATACTACAGACTATAGTTCATCATAATCAGACGATATATTCATAAATCCTACCAGTAATTAAAACATTATACAGTTGTGGAGTTAAGTAGCCTGTCGTCGGGTGCCCATTGTGTGATAAATATATGGGTAAATAAAACAAATAGTCATGTATCAACATTCGAAAGAAAGCAGTGACGAGAGAAAATGTCTGCAATTTCATTAGATGTTCAACTTTATACAAGTATAATTGAACTTTGTATTCATATATTGAAAATATTTGAAATTATTCATTTCGAAAGAAAGCAGTGACGAGAGAAAATGTCTGCAATTTCATTAGATGTTCAACTTTATACAAGTATAATTGAACTTTGTATTCATATATTGAAAATATTTGCAATAAGGAATACGCATGATTTTTTGTTTAATCGAAATTATATTCCTTCTTCCTTATAATAACATTGGATATCATTCATTAATCTCAAATTTGCTTGTGACTCTAAGCTAAATATGAAGTCACAGGAAAACGGGTAAGTGGCCATCACTAATATTATGACGTCATAGTATTAGGCCGAACAGCCATAGACTAGCGCGACAGAATGACAAGATTCAGATTGAAAAAAAAAAGAAGAAGAAGAAGAGGTAGAAGAAAACAGTTTTAAACGCCAGAAATTTGAAATTTGAAAATGGAAAATGATAATGTTTATACCAAATACTGTTTAGTGCCGCAATGCCTTTCATCAACAAAAGTATCACCAGGAAAAATATTCCTTTCATTGCCAGTGGGATCGAGTGATGAAAATAAAGAGAAAAGAAAATTATGGTTGCAAGCCATAAATAGAAATGATTTATTCGAGAAAACCAGAGGATTTGTTTGTGAAGACAATTTCGAAGTGAGTATACGTTCAAGTATGTCCTAGTGAAACCCATTATATATCAATGATTATGTTCCTCATGTTATTAGGAGAATAATATAATATGTGATTTCGTTTTCAGCTTGAAGAAGATATGGAAAACTATATGAGATATAAATTGATAGGTGGTAATATATATATGAAACAACATGCAAAAAGAAGTCCTGTTTGATCATTCTTATTGTAGATATTTGCTTATTATTCAGTTATTATTATTCAGAATATTGATATCATATAATTGAGATAGATTATAGAAACTACAAGCTCAGATAATCATAACCTCACTTTCTCTTCTTATATTATTTTCAATCTTTCGGACATGAATGTTTGACATGACAAATAAAAACAGCCACATCCAGTCGGAAATCATCGCTGCAGTTCAGCTGTTGGTCGGAAAGTTGCAAATATTATGATTTTCAATCAGAAATTATTAAATATTCGGTGATTAATAATGTTTTTCGGGTGTATAATTCGACATCTATACATATGAGTAATGGAACAAAAATATATTCCAGTGTAAAATTTTCACACGCGTATACCCTATTATTCATGTTCGCAAATGTGTGTCGCTTTATGATGAACTCTTCATTGCCGGTAGCCATACATGACGACCGTTTGTCACCTAAATCTTTTGTGGTAGATCGCAGTCCCTTAAAATCTGAGCAACTGTGATGTATACCAATTATTCACTTGAAAAACTCTTATCAGTCGATAATAACATCGAATACGGAAGAGATAGTAGTCTACACCATGATACGCTTTGAATATCAGGTTGAACTCCAAGAACGGTGATAAGAACTGTCATATTAAAATTTTCTACGTAATTATTTATTATATTTTCCATGAAAACATTTTTTTTACTACTAACTTGAGGAATCACCATTATTCACGAAAACTCACTAATTAAAAGTGACATGATTTTAACCTAGCTAAATAATAATACCTACGGAAAAATACCTTAGTGAATAATGTAATGTGTACACTACACTGTTTTACCACTAACCAAACCGATTTTTCAACGTTAGCATCTTCAGGAGAAGATTAAAACTGGTACCCAAGAGATCAAGAATGCCACTTCCATTTATTGGTATCTCCAATAGTTAACGAGTTACCATATACAGTAGTTTTCTTGATACACTTTCCCAAAAAATTAACGCACCACCAAAAAGTATTCAAAAGCTTGTGATACATTTTCGTCGAAACTGCTGGTCCGATGTGGACGATTTTTGTTCAGAATGATAGGTAATCTTCTCCTGAATATTGACGTGCAAACTGTATTCCCTTGAGAACCTCTTTTTCATGAATGCCGGGTGTAGCAATTATAGCGTATTATTTTCATGAAATTTGTAATACAAGTAACAGTAACGTTATCAAGTTGAATTTGAAAGCACACTTTAGCCTTATCTCATTTCAAAATTCCTTTATTGGATTTACTCCATTATCTTTCCTATTTCTCTAGAAACACAATTTATTAGTACAAGCTATGTTCTGGGGAGGCATTTCTCTGACTGGTCACATGGAACTTCTGATCTTAAATGAAAGCCTCACAGCAGAAAGGTACATATTGGTGATTTTAGAACCACTTATAGTGTAAGGACTTCTGTTGATGCAAGTTAATGCCAGGCCTCACGTCGCCCTAGTTGTGAGAAATTATCTAGAGGAAGTCTGTATCGCTACCATGACATGACCAGCTAGGATCCCGCATTCAAATGCCTTTGAGAATCTCTGGGACATTCTTAGGACAAGATTACAAAAGGAATGTAACTTGAATACTCCGGAAAACGCAAGGCAGAGACTGATGATTCAAATTTGGGAAGACCTGCCCCAACATGACATTTGGTCTCTTATTTTGGGTGTATCGGCCGTTTTTGTCAAGAAGTTTTTCTTGCCCGCGGCGGAAATACTCGCTTCTGACCCTTTCTTTCAACTTGTGACTTCGCATCATATCTCGTTTTTTTGGTTTTTAAATCTGGATATCAATTTTCCATAAAATCACCTTTCACTATAAAATAATGTTTCTGGAGTAATATGAAAGATGATGGTGTGAATTAAAAATGTTGAAGAAAGATAAGGGTAAATATCAACATAATAACGTTACTGTTACACTCCACGGGATATTACGCAGTAATTGCAACACACGGTATGTATAAAACAGAGGTTTTGATGCGAATACAGTTTGCACATCGATGCTCAGATGGAAACAACCTGTCTTTGAAAAAGAAAGAGCATCCAAATCGTGCAAGTTGTTTTGACAAAAATGTTTCCTACACTTTTGGCTACTTTTTGGTTGCGCTTCAATTCCTTGGAGAAGTGTAGTTAAGGTGATCATTTAAAGTCGCTTAGAGCTGTCATTTCATGTGAGGATAAACTTCAGATAATTTCGGAAAGGATAAATGATGTCAATTGTTACAATCATCGAAACTACTAGGAGTGTGGATTTCATCATTATTAACCAGTGGTCAAGATTCGATGTGGTTTCTAAAGTTAGTAGTGAAAATAATTGAATGGAAACGTACCTGTCGGTGAGAGAGTCCGGCCTCCATGGCTCCTTGCCCCAAAGCTTCGGAGCGCTGCTAGAGCTGAACGGCTTCTGCAGCTGGCTGCTCCAAGAGGTGCTCGTGTTGCGGTCGAAGCTACGAGGGCCAGAATCTGAAAACAACTCCATCGTTCAAGAAAAAAAAAGAAAAAAAGTGCGATTCCTATCTTGAGTCTTTGATGAGAACACTATGAAACCTAAATGCGTTTCAAAACAGCTTCTTTTATTATGAAACTCAAATGCATATTGAACAGCTTCTTCTATTAGGATAACAAAATGCGTATCAATGCAGCTTCTTACATTATAGAACCTAAATGCGTATTGAAACACCTTTCATTATTTAATCTGAGAGAATACCAATCCACAGCTACTTTTATTAAAAATCTCGAATGTTTATCAAAACACCTTTTTTTAAAATGCGTAACGACTGAACGACATTGTTTATTTGATGAATATGAACATATTATGACATCCATCTCCATGAGAGCCTGGTGCATGTAAGTATTTTCTATGTCTTTTTGTTTAATATTTGATCAAACTACCAAGTGGTAATTTCAATACCTGTTTTGATAACTTGAATCAAATTCTTGAAAATATGTTCAAATACTGTGTTTATATCTTCCTAACTGGAGACTTCAATGTCAATTCACTGACTGCTCACAAGGCGCATAGTCTTGATCAGCTATTGTAGTCATATGGATTATCTTCAAGAAACTTTATGCCAACTCGTGGTAGTTCTGTTTCAGATCAAATTTACTCTAATTTTGAGAAATGTTATTGCGCTGTGGATATTAATACTGAATCGGAAGATGACACACTCCTGTCAACTTTGAATATTGACAAGACAAATTGTAGCAACAAGATAATCACTAGCGACAGTAGAATCAACAGTTTCATCTCTCACCTAATCAAGGAAACAAAGCGTGACATCTACTCGGCAGAAGATACTGAATCTAAATTCAATATATTCAATAATACATTGCTGCACTATTTTCATGCAAGCTGTCCAATAAAACAGGAAAAATCTAGAGTAGAATCAAACAATCAATGGGTAACTAGTGAGGTAAGAGTATCATCTGATAACTTAAAAAAAATGTATTTACTCAAAAAATCTAACTTTCTTTTAGAAGGTCATTACAAGACAGCTTAAAGAGAACATAAGTACCTTATTAAAAATACTAAAAGTCAATTCGATTTCAATAGAATAAAAAACTCCACAAACAAAAATAAAACTTCATGGCAAGTTAGTAATGAATTAAGAGGTAAAGATCATTCCCATACAGGTATAAACATAAAAGATGGTAATCAAATTCTTGAGGATCCATCATTGATAGTCCACAAATTTAATGACTTTTTTATCAAAATCCCAGATGACATCATATCAAAGATATATAACCCAGGTATTATCCAATATCCTAATGATTTTCAAAATGAAAGCATGTTTATTGCACATGTAACTGAGAATGATGTGCTTGATATAATAAAAACAAGATAAAAAATAAACCATCTAGTGGTTTTGATGGAATTTCTGGGATTGTTCAGAAAAAATTGGACCTTACATAACTTCACCCTTAGCTCACATTATAAACTCGTCATTTAGAATAGAATAGAATTTATTTAGTATTAGGGACAGAACATTACATTATGTTTAATACAAGTCAAATACATACAGTAGAATACAAATAATTATAAAAATCAAGAAGCGTCTGAGAGATGTACATAATTTCCCTATCTTCCCTTATTGTGACAAAGGGATATAATTGCTTCATTGATATCCTCTATTTTATAAGGTTCTATTGTGACTAATATAGATTTCATGGTTTTTTTGAAACTAGTGAAGGTTTTGATTTGTTTGATATCATTTGGGAGCATATTATAGAACCATAAGCACTGATAATAACAACCTTTCTCAAAAAGGGATGTCTTATGTAGTGGAAATGAGAATGTTTCTTTCCGTCTCATATTGTGAGAATGATTATGTAAGGAATCATTGAATATATGTTTGTTTTTGTATACAAAATTGACACATTCAAGGATATTATATGCACCAGGCAATGTCAAAAGATTGAGTTTTTTAAAATAGCCACGACAAGATTCTGAAGTTTTCAAGTTAGCCAGAATACGAATTGACCTTTTTTGAATCACAAATACTTCTTGACTATGTGAACCACCCCAGAAGATTATACCATAACACATGATTGAATAGAAATGTCCAAAGTAAGCTGCCTTGAGAGCATCGTGATCTACAACTGTCCTAAGTGCTTTCAGAGCATAACTGGCCTTACTGAGTCTACCACAGAGCAGTGATACATGGTCTACCCATACCATATGTTTATCAATGGTCACGCCAAGAAATTTCGCAGAGTTGGCATATGAAATAGCACTATTATTCAAATTTATGTTTTCTGGAAAAATCTGTGAGTTTCTGCTGTGTCTAAAGAGGATGCAATTTGTTTTAGTGATGTTTAATAGTAGAGAGTTCTCATGAAACCAGTTGGAGACTTGAGAAGTAACTTCTACAGTTTTTCGACTCAATTCTTCAAAACACTTGTCAGCAATCAGAATGTTTGTGTCATCTGCAATAATTTGTTAATTTCATAGAAGTACACTTGACAACATTACCTAGATCATTTACATATAGGATAAACAATAAGGGACCAAGCACACTGCCCTGTGGCACTCCTATAGAAATGGTTTGTGTACCTGAAAAATGATCTGTTGCACCATCTTTGATACATACTTTCTGCGTTCTATTACTAAGATAAGAAGAAAACCAATCATGTGCTGTTCCACGGATACCCATCTTGAATAATTTCCTGAGAAGTGTGGCATGATTCACACAGTCGAAAGCCTTTGATAAGTCTAGGAAAACACCATGTGCAACATATCCATTATCTAGGAAATGCAATATTCTTTCTGTGAAAGCAAAAATGGCAGTAATAGTAGATTTCCCTTTTTGAAAACCGTGTTGGATATCTGATACAATATTGTTTGATACCAAAAATGGAACCAGTCGTCTACTCATCATAATTTCAAATAATTTTGAGAAACTAGATAAGATACTGATTGGCCTATGATTTTCAACTAGGTAAGGGTCTCCTTTTTTGAATAGCGGCCTTACAATTGCGATTTTCAACCTGAAAGGAAAACTACCTCTTCTGAATGATTCATTCAAAATATAAGTCAGAGGATCTAATATGTAGTGACAGATAGTTTTCAGTAAAACATTGTTGATTCCATCATCTGCAGAATATTTATTTTTTAATCCCTTAATAACCTCCAGAACTTCCTCTTGGGTTGTTTCTGTTACAAAAATTGAGTTGTGATATTCCTTTACATGGTCTAGGTTCATATTAGGTTGAGCATTCCCCAAAATTGGAGGCTGCAGTGATAAAAAAATTATTGAAAATTTCACACGCTTTGTCTGGTAACGATATAAGTTCGTCATTGAATTTAATTCCTTCGAATGATGGATAGTTCTGTTTGGACTTACCTAGCTCTCTATTTACAATGGACCATATCGTTTTAGACTTATTGTCAGATTGTGGGATTTTATTACCATAGAATTTTTTCCTCTCAGACGCCAGTAGATGAGAGTAGTATTCTTTGAATTCCTGTAGTTGATTCTTTGATATTTGATTAAGAAGGTACATTTCTGACAAAAGATTCAAGGTACTTTTTGCCCTCTGAATTGTTTCTGAAATCCACTTCGGTTTATGGATAGTTTGGTTTCTCATTTTTTTTGAAAGGAAAAGCTATATTGAAATGTCCTGTAAATATGGTAATGAAATTGTTGTATATCTCATCTAGAGATGATGCTTCATAAACAGGTAGCCAGGTTTCATTATATAAGAATTGGTAAAGTTTTTGATAATTCTCGTGACTGTAAGTACGCCTATATTCAAATTAGTCTTTTGATACCATCTGATCTTCTTCAATACACACTGGCCATAGTGATCTGATATGTTAGTAAAGATAACTTTTGAATGGTAGGTATGAAAACTAGAAGCATATATATTGTCCAAGCATGTGGAAGTATCATGTGTTTGCAAAAGGAAAATTTCCATCTAGACTAAAAATCAAATCACTCCAATTTTGAAGAAAGATGGCTCCGAAAAAATTGAGAACTATAGGCCATTGTCTGTACCCTCTGTAATATCCAAAATATTAAAATATGCTGTGATTCATCAGCTTACAGATTTCTTGAATAAATTTGAAATAATCAGTGATAATCAACATGGTTTTTGTACACAGCGTTCTAAAATTACTGCAATTATATCATTTTATGAAAAAATTCTAGATGGCTTGGAGCAGGGAGAGAGTCCTACTGGAATCTTCTGCGATTTCAGTCGCGCTTTCGACTGTGTTGACCACAGCATACTACTGGATATGTTATATAGATGTGGTATTAGAGGCAATGCTTATGATTGGTTCAACTCCTATTTAAAAGATAGACCTCAAATGGTAAAAATATCTGCATCTGGAACTTCTGCTTTTTCATCGACTGAAATTAATGCACTAGGGGATCCTCAAGGCTCTATCCTCGGTCCAGTTTTGTTCGCTTATATGTTAATGACTTACCACTAATTTTATTTGATACTTTTACCACAATATATGCTGATGATTCTACATTACTAATTAGAGATAAAGACTTTGCAAGCCTGAAATCAAAAATCCATAGTTCAGTTGACAGATTATCTGTCTGGTCTTCTGATAGATCCTTGTTGCTCAATGCTAGTAAAACTAGCTACACAATCCATTCTCATCAGAATACAAATATACCACGATTAAATATCTGCTTAAATGAAAATAATATTGACACCATCGCTGACGTCAAGTTTCTTGGAGTGTATTTTGATTCCCCTCTTTCATTCAGAACCCACTGCAATAATGAAAAATTATGTAAGATCTTGAACTCTAAATTTTATCAAATAAGAAACCTCAAAAGTGCACTGCATCTGAGTCATCTCCTAAAATTTTATTTTGCAGAAGTGCATTATAGAATTTCCTATGGTATTATTGAATGGGGGAACACTCCTGCAGCAACTAATGTATTACTTGCTCAGAAGCGTATTCTAAGATGCCTAGTTGGTTGTCCAGCAACACACTCATGTAAGAACATATTTAAAGAAAATGAAATTCTAACAGTCACTGGCATATACATTCTTGAACCTATGACATATGTTCATCAAAATCAAAATTTGTACATGAAGAATAGTGACATGTGCCATTCAAGCATCTGGAACTAACCAAAAGGTCACCAAACACTTTAGGTGTCCATATGTTTTTTTCTCTAACACAAAACTTGAATAATATCCTGCATGTTCTCAAATTCAAACGTGCATTGTCCAAACTCCTCATAGATCTTTGTCCTTACCCTATACAAGAATTTGAAGGAGCACTTGGTTAATCTATATCAATTTTAATTTAAACATTTTAACTTTACTTCAATATCTGTGTGTTTTATTCTTAAATTATTATGGAGTCTTATTGCAGTTTTATATGTCTGCCTATATATGTCATTTTCCATTTGATTTATTTGTCCATATCAATATTATTGTTAATTAGGAACGTATTATTATCATTATCACTATTATTTTGTGTTATACTTATTTTGTGTGCTGCTTTGTTGACTTGTCCTATAACTCTTGTAAGTTCCAAAGGATTAATGAATTGATTGATTGATTGATTGAGGAAGCCATGTAGGAATCTAGTAGTCAATCAACAGCCAAAATACAAAAACGAAAACATCATGTCTCGAATATCAACACAGATATTTCAATCAATCAAAAACGTATATTTTGAAGTGGAATAATCACATGCATCAACTCGTCTTGATTTCCCCTATTCACCATTTGGCAATGTGAGTCTCCTCATGAAACACCCTGTATAACTATAGTAGATCGAATGATAATCGACTCACCTCTCGACGACAACGACAACTCCGGCTTGCTCTCCCCCATCGGCCGCCTGTCGCTCGCCCGGAAATGCGGGCTGCGGTCTCGCCCACCCCGCTCCCGCTCTTCGTATCGGCCCTCCTTCGCCCGCGACGACCCCATCTCGGGGCGGCCGCGCGACTCGCCGCCTCTGTCCGCGCGGCCGTTGTCGTACGACGGCGGCCGCGAGTCGTACTTCGCCGACGGCCGCGAGAGGGAAGGGGGGAAGTCACCGCGCGTCCCACCAGCGCCCGATCGCTTGTCGAGGTAGGCGGAATCACGCTTCGGGTCGTACGGCGGACGTGACTTGCCGTACGGCTCCTTGGAAAGGCTGCTGCCGCCGAACTTCTTCGGGCTAGGGGCTCGCGGCTTCAGACTGCTGGAAATAGGGAACGGTCACCAGCGAATCCACAACATTATCTCAGGGGAGGGGGTGTCCCAGGCATCGAGATGACGAATGATCACGTCACTGTGCCGTCCCTAATTGGTGATTTTTCGTCAGAGACGTCACACACCAATTTATGACGTCACTATGACGTACTTTCTATGACGTGATAATCACGTCATTGCTTCGACATCGAGTGAACGTCACTTAGATGGGTAAAAGAAGACGTCAGTTTCATGACGTTGCAGGGACGTCCTGTCGACGTCCATTTTTCCCAGACCTTCTTTTAACCATGGATACTTATATATTATCATGTGAAACAGAAATATAACTCATGAAAGCAAATCAAAATGCAAGTTTTATTAGAATTTTTAATATACCCGAAAAGTAGAAGAACACTTTTTTCTAAAAAACTTTCTATATTGAAACCGTTACTCTTATGACGTTGCAGTGACGTATCTATCACGTCGGCGTGACGTACCAAAATGGTGGAGCTTCGTCATTCAGAAATTTGTTCTATAATTTACTATTTAGATTTTTGTTAGGTGACAAAGAATGCATTAATATACATTATTCAACAAAGTGAAGCCAAATTCGCCAACATCCGTTCCATTGCTATCAAACTATTCTTTGTTTGCTTACATCGCGCCGACACAAACTACATAATTTTTTATACAAATACGAGTTACTGATTGCATTCTGATGGAGATGCGTACTGAAGGAAAGTGCTGCTGAATAGGCGATTGAATGAACATGACACAGCAGGGACCCAACAAGCAGACTCAACAATGCATAATCAATATTATATATGTCATCAGAGGCCAGTGGTGTTTATCACACCATGTTAAAGGAATCTTTTTTACGTATCATCGCCAAATTTAATCGTCACAGTTTGGTGAGTGAACGACGTGAGTAATATGAGGTCATTGGGCTTTGACTTAATCACGTCATTATCACGTCATGCGACGTAAACTACTGACGTCACCTTGTTCATTCAAGTGACGTGAAAAAGACGCCGCTGGAACGTCATCTGGTTACCTGGGGTAAAGAGATTATTTTGTTCGAATTCTAGTTATAAAATGTTCGATAGTCGTCTTATGTTGAGATTTGGGATTTGTAATTGAATACATTTATTTTTATTGCAATTTTGACATTTAACTTCGTAGAAATATCCATGTCCAAAGTCATACTGATGAAATATTTGGTGAGAAGTCCAATATCGTTTTATTCGAGTGTTCCCTAACGTGGCTCGAACGGCAGATGTGAGCCTGCGCAGACCAGGGGCTACCTCAGAATTATTTGATTACCAGGTTTTTGTGGCTTTCTTAGAAGGGCGAAACATTGTGAAAAATTCATATGATATTTGGTATCATGGTTTCCTTCATGTTATTTGGAGTAATGTTTCGATGTATTTTCCATCAACTAAAGTGTTCATTGGCGTGCTAATATACAGGGTGATTCAGGCTATATAAGCAATAATTCAACATGCATATCATCATTTTTTCAAACTCTTCAAGGGAGTTTTAAAAATCATTCTCTTGTTATAATTCTTAGGACCCAAAACAAAATTTGGTGTGCAAATACTTATGAACTAAGTATCATCAAAATTGTTGAGTGGATTAGATACAGGGGAGTTGTTTCACTTTTGCCGCGCTATTTATCAAATCATAGAATATTTTTCAAAATTGAGATATTTTTCCAAATTCCCTGTTCAATTCAGAAAGAAAGGCAGTCTTGTGGCATTTTGATTTGTTGAAGTTAATAGACCTTGGATGTCATCGAGAAACACGTACCTTGGCGGCGGCGGCGGCTCGTTGTAGTGCCGGTCGGTCGCGCTGCGCTTGCGCTCATCGAAGCCGTCGTCGCGGCGGTAGGGCGCCGGCCGCTTCGCCGCGCGCCGTTCCTCGCTCAGCCGGATCAGCGTGCGCTCGAGCTCCATCTTCTCGAGGGCGATCTTCTCGCGCTCGAGGCGCTGCCGCTCGCGCTCCATCCTCACCTGAAGCAAACAGACAATGGGAGGGTTTTTTTGCCACCACTACAAATATATATTCAAGGCGAAGCCAGAGCAGTCGTGAGTAGATTGTCAAGGGGTCAAACACCCATAAGCAATGCGCACGGTAAAGACTATAGAAAGCTATATGAAGAGTTGGAAAGCGACCCCATCATGGGAATGCCAACGGATGGCACAATTCCAAAATATAACGGACAGAGAGGCATGAACGAAGGACCTCCTATCAATGCAGACATTGCTGTCTATACGGACGGCTCCAAAACTGAGGAAGGATCAGGAGCTGGTATATATGGGGCCAAGCCAAAGACAAGAATCTCACTGAGCTTAGGTAAATACGCGACGGTGTTTCAGGCAGAAATTATTGCAATACCTCATTGCGTGAAAGAATTGATAAGGCAAGAGTTTAAAGGCAAAACTATTGCAATCTATTCAGATAGCCAGGCGGCCAGCAAAGCAGTCAACTCTATGCAAGTTAACTCAAAACTAGTATGAGACTGCATAGAAACCATAAATGAACTGGGCAGTCAGAACAGACTGACTCTAGCATGGGTACTAGCACATACAGGGTACGAGGGCAATGTAGAGGCAGACTCACTTGCCCGAGCAGGAGCAAACAAAGCTCTGAATGGCCCAGAACGCTTCTGTGGTATTGCGAAAGCTATACAAAAGACTAGTATCAAATCATGGATCCAAATCAAATCTCAAGAATGGTGGAACAACTCGCCAGGAATGAGACAGGCAAAAGAGTTTATTAAAAAACCATCGCCAACATTCACAGAATATCTACTGAGCCAGAAACGAAGTTCAACTAGAATACTAGTGGGACTTCTCACAAGGCATTGTAAGCTCAACAAACACATGAGTACGATAGGTCTGACTGAAGAACTGCTGTGCAGGTTCTGTCAGGAAGAAGAGGAAACAGCAGTACACATACTTTGCCACTGTGAGGGCTTGTCAAGACTAAGGTAGTCTATGGACTCTCATACAGAAGGCGGGGCTAGCCGACGAACTCTAATCGATTTTGAGGGCAGACACAATAGATCTGAAAAGGTCGCGGTGTGGTGGCAGATAGCCTGAAGGCCCCATTCGAAATCTAATCTAACCTAGTGGTAAGTTTTGTTCAAATGAAAATTTCACACCTAACATTTTCGAACAACTTTGAAGCCTCTATTTTGTTCGTTACCATAGCAACTAAACAATGAAATTACACTGGAAATTTTTTCACGTTTAAAGGTATTTACATTTACTTTTAAAGTTTTTTTTTTATTCATTTCAATTATGTTCTGTTTCCCACGAAAAGGGATATCCTGTAATGTTCAGAGAACATCGTGAGAACAAAGGGAAATAAGGTAGGAATTGGTGTTCTTCTTGAATTTCTGGAGGGTATAAAGGGTGAGTCATGAGGAACTGTACATACTTCTACCCCGAATAGAGGCCCCTGAGGTGAATACCTCATGACCATCAGAAAGTGTCATCTCCTCTTCTTCACTAATATATGGGGTGAATTATGGGATTTGGCAGAAACATCTTTTGGGCATAACTTCCCAACAGATTCTTCGATTTGTCTTATTTTTTTCATGAAATATTCTGCTACTACCATCTAATCGACTGACTTATTCAAAATCAGGAAAATCAGGACCGTTCTTGAAACATTTTGCTACTTCAATTTATATCAAAAAGTTCATCCTCTATATGGTTTTTGTAAACTGTGACAGAAGAATATTCAGAGATCACAAACGAACATCAAGAATAAAAATTTTTTCAATAAACGATACATTTTTAGAAAAAACGAAATTTCGGGAACGAATTCATTCATTTGAAAATTAATACTGCGCAACGCATAAATTCCACGAATGAAAGTAGGACTTATATTCTCAATATTCTAGCTCAATGGAAATCAACATGTTCTTCTATTTCCAGGCCTGGATTTCGTCATCTTATTTTTTTGTGGAGGGTATAATAATCACCCTGTAGATCTTTTACCAATCAGTGGATGGGGGGGTATCTGTATGGATGTTGATGATGGCCATCGATTTGAATAATTTTATGATTATTGATTCTCAATTTTATCGATTCGATTTGTTTTATCAAGTTATATTGGTCACTTATTTGCTGTACAGAAGAAAAATTAAGATCATCCTTTGTTATAGTATTCTAACAAAAAATTGTGGGTAAACCCGCATTTTTTTATTGACGTTCTAGAATCATTTGAATCAATTTCCATTAATATCCATACAGATACCCTATCCACTGATTCGGAAAAGATCTACAGGATGATTATTATACCCTCCACAAAAAAATAAAATGACGAAATCCAGGCCTGGAAATTGAAGAACATGTTGATTTCCAATGAGCTCTGCTAAGAGATCTAGGATGATCAGAGTTGTCCACTTTTATCAGCAGACCGAGAGCGGCTGATGAGACCTGGTGGGGTGAAACAGTACTGTCTCTTAGTTATGAGACCTATTTCAATGAATAGGACTGGGTTAAGTGGAAGAACAACTCATTTAGTGAATTTATTCGCTAAATGAAGTGAACTTCGCCCTTTATTTTCATGTAATTTCCATTGTACCATTTAATTGTTACTATATTGAATCCTGCCTTTTGTTAGGATATAAGCTAATTGCTGTACCTACAATAAAAGCATTTATTTTTATTATTATTATTATTATTTTGAAAATAAAAAAGACGTTCATTATTCCACAGGAAGGAAGGAATGCTCAAAGTCACCTCCACAAATTTTAATGATATTTTTACATGATCATGAGGGACATGTTTCGGTCTTATAAAAGACCATCTTCAGCCTAATTGAAAGGTCTACAATACAAAAACAAATGAGGTTCGCATAGCGCATACTATTGGTTTGTAATGAACATTTCACATACCAGAATGGTATATGAAGGGTATTGCCAAAAAGTTCCTTTTTTGACAACACCATAAATTAACGGGTTTTTTGAAAAGAGGTTCCCCGTGCCCTTATGAAAGCGCTACTTCAAGGGAAAATATCAATAAAATTGATGGGGCAAACAGCCAGCACGTGTTGAAATCTAAACTAGTTTGGTTAGAAAACACTGAAAATAATGTCAATTAAAGACATGGACAAGACGTTGACATAGTCAATGTCAAGGGATAAAACATAAAATTCGGACCATGAGCATAGGCGTATAACAATATCTATTACAACTATTGAAGAATATGGATGTAGGAGGAGGAATGCATGTAGGAGAGAGTTGAGCAAACCTGAAAAATCATTGACTATGAAATACCATAAAATAAGTTGAGACCAAGGCAATACCCTTCATATACCATTCTGGTATATGAAATGTTCATTAGAAATCAATAGTATGCGCTCTCAGGGCACGGGGCCCTTCATTTATTGAGAACCTGTTTTTTCTGAATCTTTGGAATTCTTGGCTATGGGTATTGACAACTCAAGGAATAGTAGCATCAAAAATGTTTTCAACTCCAAGTAAGTCTAGCACAAAATAGGCAATTCTTTCACTTCAATATCCATTTGTTTTTGTAATGTAGACCTTTCAATTAGGCTGAAGATGGTCTTTTATAAGACCAAAACATGTCCCTCATGATTGTGTAACAATATCATCAAAATTTGTGGAGATGACTTCGAGCATTCCTTCCTTCCTGGGAAATATTTCAATCCACTTTGAGCAATATGGACTTCTACCAAAGATTTACGTTCATTATTATTATTATTATTATTATTATTATTATTGAGATGATGAAATTAAAATAAAAAACACCAAACAATTCATGACTGCATGGAAGATACCCTTCAGATTTTTAGCTATTTAGTGATTCGACCACTCAGGACATTTCGGAAACGGCAGCCATTTGGAGGTCAATTGTCGCCACTGTATTTAGTCAAGTCTGTGGTTTGCCGGGCACATACGTTCAGTTTGAAGTCTGACCATCAGTCTGACCAACCAGCTGTTTGGGAATATCGGGCACGTATCAAACCTGCCCACAAAGTTACCACGTTAACTTTTGATGGGAGCCAGTCAAACATTGGCAATTCTGGTATCACCACTGTGGTTGAACGACTGACTTGACACAGCCCATATCTACTTGCTCTACCCACTCACCAGCTCAGCCTTCTCTCTTTCGATCTTCTCCCGCTCCATGCGCAGCTTCTCCTTCTCGCGCTCGAGCCGGTGCGCCTCGAGACGCTGCCGCCGCTCGACGTCGCGCTGCCGCGCCGCCTCCTCTTGCCGGCGGCGCATCTCCTCGCGCAGCAGCCGCTCCTTCTCGCGCAGCCGCTGCCTCTCGCGCTCCTCCTGCAAACCGTCCGTCGATCAAGTTAACTTCAAAAACTATCGGAACTATCGATAGTACTATCGATATGGAATTTCGTTAAAAATATATTTGTCCTCTTCGTTTTTTTTTTATTTACTTGGCCATTACTTGATGGAAATCCATGGAAAATGTAAATACTTCACAAACATTAAGATTTCCACAAAATTCTTAAACACACAACATGTTTCGCTAACATAGAAGCTTCGTCAGGTGATATACTGGTACAATGAACTAACTCAACGTTGGCTTGCTTAACTTTTATATATCCTACTTTCCCAACTTGAAGGATTCAAGTCAACTGTGGATCTTATCTTAAGGTATATATCGGTCAGCCAGGTCGTACGTTTAATCAGCGCATTCATGAACATAAGATGAATTTTATGAAAAAGAAAACAAATTCAACATACGCCAACCATATATTAGAAGAAAACCATAGTTTTGATGATAATTTCGAAATTCTACATGTAGAAAATAAAGGAATGAAACCATTTTGAATCATTAGAAATCATTAAACTCAAAAATTTTGACATTTTACTTAATGATCAATTAGACCTCAATAGTTCAACGCTGGTGGATTTGTTTTCTTAGTATGTAATAATATTTATTTGCTATCAACCCTATCAAGTTAATCCGGTACACCGTATTTTAATGTAGATATTGTGCCTAATTTCCGAAAATGAAGGTTTATCGCACCTGTCCACAAGTAACTAATACTTCAAGTTGGTAAAGTAGGATATATAAAAGTTAAGCAAGTCAACGTTGGTTTAGTTCATTGTACCAGTATATCACAGCTTCTGTGTTAGCGAAAGATGTTGTGTGTCTAAGAATGTTGTGGAAATCTTATCGTGTGTGAAGTTTTTACACATTTGTCCTCGTTTTTTGATTTATTCCCCCCCCCCCCCCCAGATATATCAATACTGGTGAAAATAAACATATTATAAATAACAAGGAACCATATATATATCAATGATTGAGGTACAAAAAAATCAGGAACAAAAATATTTGAAAATTGGAGCAAGATATTGATTTTGACTACTTCAGGCAAGTGTGGGCAGGAAGTGGATCTCTAGGGGGATAACTAGTTTTTTTTAGTAATGATTAATGATTAATTTTGTTGATTTATTTTTATTGACTCTTATAATTTCAATATTTATGTTAGTTTCCTTGTTAATTTAATTTTTACAATTTTTTATCAAGGCCGCCCTAGAAAGTTTGAGCCTCGATCTCCTGTTACTAATTTATTTGTCCAGTTTTGAAGAAAATTTTCTCGGACAAATGTAGCTGGAACACAAAATGTTTTCTAGATATTGTTTTCGTTGTTCCAACATGATAATTTCCATTTGAATCTATGCCTCTTGTTGAAATTGGTTTTTCAAGATAACCGTGATGCCGTATGCCCATGATGGATGCTTTATAGATCTGAAACATGTCCCCTTCCCTTTTTTTAATTTGACATTGTGGTAATGACTTGGAGAATGTTTACTATATATTATATGAACTACTTCAATACATTTTGAGACAATGTGGACTTCAACAGAAGAATAATATTTTCATTATCATCACCTCCTCAGCTCTCATTTTGGAATAAAAATCCAACAAAATTTCGATATCTTACTCGGAATTCAAACAAAATCTCAAAAAAAAAATGTCAACGAACGAATGAATTTCGTTTGAGTAAATCACTCAAGAATGTAAATCGTATGCTATTTTTCAATGATTGCTTAGCACATTTTGATATTGCATAACTATTACTCAAATATTCATCTAGTAGTTAACGATGAAACCAGAAGACGAGACAGAATCTCTATAATATCCATGATTAAAACAATGCAATACTTATAGGTATTTCAGTTTGTTGAACTGGCTATGAAGCATGCTAAATAGCGAATAAGCGAATTATGAATTAGCATTTCAGTATTCCACCCAGCTTTTCAGCACCGCTTCAACATTCAACATTGGATTTGGGCACCTTACCTACCGATTTCGGCACCGTTCTAACATTGTGCTACGCGATTCGGTACCGTTCAATTACTGGTGGTGATAGTGAGCTGTATTCAAATTAGCCAATGAGAATTGAGACGGGTGCCGAATCCTATAGTGGAATGTTTGAATGCGAACCAATGGGCATGTCCAGTATCGTAAAATTCGACCCTTTTTCGCTATAATTTATTTATTCATTTATTATTATGTACAGTGTGTCCATTTTCGATGCTTTTGTGCGATATCTCAGTTGTCTTCGGAGATAGAGAGTTGCGGTTTTCACATTACTGTCTTACTTTTTTGTGAAACGGACAATGCCGCTAACAGAATTGTCACAGGTCTCCATGTTCTTGAGATACAGGGTGAAATTGAAAATTCTCACTTTTTGAGCACCTCCCGTATCTTGGTTAGTATCCAACTTATTGACAAGGTGAGAACGGGACCTTGTATAACTTTTTACGCATAATACAGTGGCGTACTCATTCTGTTTCCGTAATGGCTCATTTTCAGAAATTGAAGCCAACATTTTCTTTTTCAAATGGGACACCCTGTATATTTCTTCACATTTCGATTTAGATTTTTTTTGGCTTTCCGAAAATATATAATAGTTGACATTTTTCTATATTATTGATGTTTTAATTCAAAGATATTTTTTTACTATGCGTTCTTGCAAGTAGGCCGTGGTGACTCAGTAGAAAACAAAGTTGTTTATAGCTGTCAATAGTTGTTGACATGAACGCTTATCAAGTTTTCATGCTATACTGTGTTTTCAAGAGTTTCTGTATTTTTCTGCGATTCAAACGATGGCAGCACTGTATCAAAATTATGGAAAATATGATATGTTAGTTTGCTTCATACAATGCAATGAAACCTCACATAATGCTTCAGAATTTTACTCCGAAAGGTATGTTTACATAAATTATTTGTGCTTATGAGTATGAAGTTATGTATCGATATATTATAATTACTGATTAGGTATCCGGAAAGGAGGCAGCCTTCTTCTGATACTTTTTCCCGGATGAAGACAAATTTATTAGAGTATGGAGCTTTCAAACAGCCTCGACCAAAACTCTATAACAAAGGAAATCGTGAAACGGACGAAATTAACGTTTTAGCTCTCGTAGAAGCAGCGCCATCAAGTTCATGTCGAGTTATTGAAAGAGAAGTCGGTGTGGTCATGAGCTGGGTACAGAAAATTTTGAAGAAAAATAAATTCACACCATATAAATTACAAATCGTACAGCATTTGCATCCTGGGGATGCAGGACGTCGATTAATTTTTTTGGTAATTGGTATATGGAACGGATTCGAATGAATATTGATTTTTCCCAATCAGTAATATTGTCTGATGAATCGCCAAAACACCAGACATTGGCCTCAAGAAAATCACCATGTTATATTTGAACGAGAACAGCAAGGACGGTTTGGCTTCAGCGTGGCTTGTTTCATTATATCGGATTTATGAAGGAGGTCTCACTGCAAACCGTTATCTAGAAATTCTACGAGATGTTCTGCCAGAGCTGCTGGACAATATCCCTCTGGCTCAGTTGAATGATATATATTTTCAACAAGACGGATCGCCTGCCCACAATTCACAAATGATACAATTTCTAGAAATTAATTTTCCCCAACGATGGATAGCAACTAATGGACCTATAAGATGGCCTCCAAGATCACCAGATCTATCAGTTTTAGATTTCTTTTCATGAAGTTTTCTGAAAGACAAGATTTACAAGTCTCAACATCGTTCTATGGAAGAATATAGAGCGGCCACGCATTCTGCTTTCCGAAATTTGCGGGGCCGTCAATTTATACTCCAAAATGACCTTAAATGAACTTGTTGAGAGTCAAATTTTGAATTAAAGTATTAATAATAAAAAAAGTGTCGACTATTGAATATTTCCGGAGAGCTTTTCAAAATCTGAATTAAACTGTATATGTATGTACCATTTGAAAACACAGTATAGCATGAAAGCTTGATAAGCGTTCATGTCAACAACTATTGACAGCTAACAACTTTGTTTTCTACTGAGTCACCACGGCCTACTTGCAAGAACGCATAGTAAAAGAATATCTTTGAATAACATCAATAATATAGAAAAATGTCAACTATTATATATTTTCGGAAAGCCAAAAAAAATCTAAATCGAAATGTGAAGAAATATACAGGGTGTCCCATTTGAAAAAGAAAATGTTGGCTTCAATTTCTGAAAATGAGCCATTACGGAAACAGAATGAGTACGCCACTGTATTATGCGTAAAAAGTTATACAAGGTCCCGTTCTCACCTTGTCAATAAGTTGGATACTAACCAAGATACGGGAGGTGCTCAAAAAGTGAGAATTTTCAATTTCACCCTGTATCTCAAGAACATGGAGACCTGTGACAATTCTGTTAGCGGCATTGTCCGTTTCACGAAAAAGTAAGACAGTAATGTGAAAACCGCAACTCTCTATCTCCGACGACAACTGAGATATCGCACAAAAGCATCGGAAAACTGGACACACTGTACAGAAACAATTTACAGAGTAGGAGTAATCACAAAAACAAGATAATATACACTATGGGTATAAAATTGACAGTAATATGACGTTATTGAATCATGACACAATTCAGTTCCGGCAGATGTTACTACTTTTCACATTCGTATTAAATAAATCAAGCTTTACACTGAATTTGTTGCATATATATTAGACATTCTATACAGAGTTTTCAAAATTGAGTCGGCATTAATGCCTACTTAGTTATTATTAGAGCTACAGGTCATCGTATGTGCAAGATGGTGCAAGGAATGCCATGATTTTAAATTACTATGTAGTCGGTGATTAGTTGATTGGTAATCCACTGCTGATCATATTCAATTTACTCTGAACTTCAAAATATTCCATTAGTTTCAAGATTAGCTAGAATAAAATGTGATGCAGGCATCTAACCGTAAGACGCTTACCATATGGTTTGGTTTGAGTTATGATGTTATGATTTTGTTGACTAATCGTTATAATCAACAAATTATACAGTGTTACTATAGCCCAAGTACTCATTCCCGGAATATTTAATCACTAATGTAGCAACTATATTTACAAGAGAAAGAGATGAAGCAACTGGCGCTAACACAATGTTGCCAAGTTAAAATCCTTATTCTCCACATAACTTCACTGTTCTCATGTTTCAATATTATTGACAAGAAGGCTTGTACTGAAATCAATCGAAAATTGAACCAAGTAAGCAATTCAGTATTGATTTATTCGAAATGTGTTCCTTTCCCTATGGGAGGTAGGTAGGTAGGTAGGTAGGTAGGTAGGTAGGTACGCATATGTACAGGTGAGTACCTAAACTTAAAATTACTTTACTGGAAGGGATTTGAAACTGAATGTCATAAATATCTGCACTGTAATTCAATAAAAATGAAATTTTGTACACAAAATCCACCAACAGAAATCAACCATCTAACTAATTATGCAATGCAATTTTTCAGTACCACAAATTTGCAGGCGGGTAGGTATTATCAGTTATCTAACAGCATCTGAATAATTTGCTGGGAAATAAATATCCGACTAATCATAGCTTTCTGTGGAAATTGTCAAGTTCATTGATCATTTTATTGGCACCCGCTAGAAGGTGAGGGCATAATCAATCCAAATTACTGGCGCACTGAGGTCACACGTTTCGCCATATGTGATCATTTGAATTATCTCGTTCATTTTGGCATTTTCAATAATTTTTATATGATGAATTGATAGAAAAAAAATATAAAAACATTATTTCAAGGTATTTCAGAGCCTATTTCGAGATACATTTTTTCTGGAAAGGCGCATTACAAAACTACATCTACAGATTTGTTGAATCTTCGACGACACCAAGTAGCTGTCAGCCAACAGAATTCAGAATATTTTTGATCTGATTCTCCAGATAAAACTAATGAAATAATTCAAATGAATACTAATTTTCTGACTTAAAATTAAAATACCAGTGATTGTTTCCCGACAGATATTTTTTTTGATTCCTGCAGTGTCATTCCTCAGGAACAGACTTAAAGGACATAAATTTGTCAACATAACTATCGCATCCAATATTGTAGGTTGAATCTAGGGCTTGTAATCAAAGCATACATTCATTCTCTTTGCCCCCTGATCCAGGTCTGATCAATAACATCCCTGGTTTACTGTAAGCACTTCCTGTGCCTTCCTTCACTGTCACTACCTAGGCTTCCTCACAAACTCAGTTTGTAGGAGTAGGTGAAGTAAATCACCTTCATGAAAAAAATGGCGCCCGAGTTATCCGAAATAGGTTCTTGCCCGAAAAGCGCCAACGTAAAAGCCCCAGAAATGAAGGCCCTTACATTTTTTATTCTGGAACAAGCTTATCATCAACATTTGTCATGCTCACCCTGATTTTGTCGAAAGTGAGAACATCCCTATCTGGGCGGGTTCCCGAAGTGGAACGAATCCTACGCCTATCCCTTTCTCTCGACTTGGAACTTCTTCTGGGCCCGTCTCTAGATTCCTGAAAGATAATATGAACTGTATTGGTAGATATGTAGATTGAAGATTGTAGAGAACCAATAGACAACTAGACACGTTTCATCAATATATTGACACCATTCATTCAAATATAAATTGCACAATGGAAATAGAATCAGAAGAGCCAATCAATTTTTTAGATTTAATAATAATTAAAATTAATGATAAACATGTTTTGTCAATTTTCCATAAACCTTCTCACACTGATATCACTATTCATAATAATTCAACATAAAATTGCAGCGTTTGATAGTGATAGGCTAGTGAATGTCCCTCTTTCACGAGTAAATTTCGATAAAGAACTCAATATCATGAAACAGATTGCAGTCAACAGACAAGTACGACGTTAATTTGATTAACAATATTCCTTCTGAAAAACTCTGTAATGAAGCAACTCAAGAACAATAATCGAAATTTTAGAACTTTAACCCCATCAACTGAAAAGTTAGCTCAATTTTTACATGAAAAGGACTTAAAAGTGCCTATAAAACAAATAACACGTTGGGAAGGTTTATCAAAAATAATAGACAAAACTTCTAAATTCGAAAAATCAAGGGTATAGAAACTCAACTGTGGATCTTGTCCTAAAGTATATATCGGTCAGACAGGTCGAACGTTTATTAAGCGCATTCATGAACATAAGATGCATTTTTTGAAAAAGAGAAGAAATTCAACATATGCAAACCACATTATTAGAAGGAAACCGTAGTATTGATGGTAATTTAGAAATTTTACAAGTAGGAAATGAATGGATAAAACTCGAATCATTTGAAATCAACAAACGCAAAATTTCAAAAATTTTACTTAATGATCAACTACACCTCAATAATTTACCGTCGTTGAATTTGTTTTCTTAGTAGGCAATTATCCTCTTCAAGTTGATCCGGTAGGTACACCCAAATTGATGTAGATTATTGAGAGTACTTTTCGAGAATGAGGCTTAATTAACCTTTCTATTTCGATCCTTCACGTTTGGACGGTATGATATATAAATTATGCAAGTCAAGGTAAGTTAAGTTTATTGTATGAGTACTTCACTCGAAGAAACAAGCTACTATGTTACCAAAACATGGCATGTCATTAAGAATTTTGTATAAATCTTATCGTTTGTGAATTTTTTTACATTAACTATGGATTTCCATCCAAAAATTACCGACTCAATTTAAAAAAATATTATTTATTCATTTATTTATTTAATAAACGGATTCACCTTTACAATAGAAATTAATTATATATAATCAAGATGGCATAAGGACAATAACTTCACATAATCCAATAAGGAACGTACAAGGGAGCAGTACAAAATATACGATGTGTTGCATGAAACATGTTTTGTATTAGGCGATAGAAAACCTACCATTCTATTGGCGGATGCTGATACTTTCAATATCAATAATGTATGAAAACGAGATACACTCACTTTTCTTTCGCTCTCTGTTCTGCTGGACCTCGACTCGTTTCTGCTGCGCCCCCTCGTCCTATCCACCTCTTTCTGATCTCCGTCGTCGTCCTTCTTGTCGTCGTCTTTGTTCGGCTCATCCTCTTTTTCGTTGCTCCCTTTGCTCTCTTTCGCCTCCTCCGTCGACTCGTTCTTCTCTTCCGTTTTGCTAGCGGCCTCCTCGTCGGGTTTATCTTCCTTCTTGGCTGTCGCGCTGTCGTCTTTCTTGTCATCTTTCTTGTCGTCTTTCTTTTCCTCTTTCGCGTCGTCTTTCTTCGGGGACAGCGAGCGCGGCTTCTTCCTGGGGCTCTTGTTGCTGTCTTTGTTGTCGCGCTGGGGACCTCTGTTTCCAGCAGCTGCCGCTTTCATCTGCTTCATTTGCTCTTCTCTGACGTTATCGAACTGAAAAGAAAATCCGATAATGGGAAGTTCATAAAAAGTCAACTGAAAAATTTTGACAAGTGGAAGACGCATTGCTCTATTCCAGTCCTAGGATGTTGAAAGTGGAGCAAGTTGGAAAGGGAGAGCGAGAAATTTATATCCCACGAGATTACAGTTGCTATAAATGCTTGAAATATTGAATATTTTTGTGATTTTTTATTTTTTCAACTGCATCAAAATTGACTGAACTTTTTTCAAATTATGAATCGATTTTTGAAGAAACTAGCATTCAGAAAATATTCGTTTTCGGAAATATATGTTTATGTGAACTTCTTTTCTGCATATTTTGAGTCAAGAAATCTGTCCTTAAAATTTAGCGGAAACACCCTCAAAACATAACTGATTTACAAAAACTAATTAATAAAAAAATGCATCAACTATGAGATTTCTTTTCCCTTTAATTGTCTCCTTCCATTCTCAGTTTGGATTCGGAAAGAATATAAAACGAATTTTTCCATTTCAACAATAGTTTTCAATATAATAATAATAATAAATGATTTTATTGTCTCAAAGGAACAAAAGGCAAAGTTGAACTCGCCGATAAATCGACAGTTGCGCTTTTCCGCTCAACCATATCTTCATTTTGTGATACATTTTGAAGATAAACATGTCGGATATATGCTCATCCCGATTTGTATTGAACCGCCTGTTTTTCTTCAACAGCTTGAAGGAGACATGTTTTCAAGATGAAAATCTTCTCTAAACATATATGCGTGAAGCTTCGTTTCCAATATACAGGGTTTCAAGGTTTACACGATCCCAAAAGTGTATCATCCTGTAGGTAATCAAGAAGCTCGATAGCCTCAAATATTGCGTCTCCAAAGTGTACCAGCTGTACCAAATTTCAATTAATTACATTGTAAAATGTAGGAGAAAACATGGAAAACACAAGAAAAATGTCAAACATTGAAACCCAGTACATCGGAAACGCAGCCCCCACGCATATATGTTTACATGGGGTATTCTTTAAAAAAAAAAAGTGTTTTTCAAGCTGTTAAAATCCTGCTACAAAGAACGGACTCGTTTTATTACAAGTAAATTATTTTTGGCATTCATCTTAAAACCCATACAGTTTCCGAAACAACAAAATGGATCGAAACGTATCCAAATTAAAGGAAAAATCTGAATTGATGATTCATAGAAAAAAGAGGAGGTACGCAAATAAGTTAGAGAGGGTTTACTTAAGTACTACCCTCAAAAGTGTATCATCCAGTAGGTATTCAAGAACGCTCGATAGACCCAAATATTGCGTTTCCAATAGGTGATAGGTGTACCAAATTTCAATTAATTATTTTGGAAATTGGAAGAGGATAATTGGAGAAATACAACAAAAAATCTTAAACTTTGAAACCCTGTATATCGGAAACGAAGCTTCCACGCAATAATGTTTACATAGAAGTTTCATCTTGAAAAAATGTCTTCTCTCAGCTGATAAATGAATAAGAAAGCAAATAACATAATTTCCTAAAATAAAAAATTTGCACCTTCAGCCAATTGAAAATATCAAAAAAACAACGCGTAACAGATTATTTACTTATTACTTATTGGCTGTTAGTTCATTCAGATGAGATGAAAATATTGGAATCAAGTAAGGAATCTTTGAATTATTTTGCTGAACTGAAAAAATCTTGCTTGATGAAATCCCATCATTACCACACAATCAATAGTTCAGCCTTATTGAGACATTTTTCAATTTATTTATATCCATATACAGGGTGGGACACCAGTAACGGCTCGGTCTGTAGTACGGCAACCTAAAATCTTCAAGATGTTTGTCTTCCTTAAATTTCGAGATGTACAAAGAAGCGCAGTATTTATACCAAAACTCATCTTTTTGAAATGGAACACCGCTTTTTGTCTATTTTTAGATTCTTTATCGAAAAAGAGACCCACTTCTTTGAAGAATCCCTATCCCTTTGATCCACTGTTTCCGAGATATTCAATTTCTTTAGAAAATGCTGGATTCTATTAGAATTTTTATGTCGCCTGATCCAATTAATTTTTATGACAGAGATTTCAACTAGTGATTAGGATCGTCAGAGCTATTGGATCTGAATTTCGTTGTCTCTTCATATTGTACACTTGTACAGGGTGCTCAAAAATTATATCAATAACTTGGTTATTTCAAAAGGAATATCCTGTATATTTCAACGTGAGAAGGTGATGAATGTAGGTATCTTTCAAACAGTGCATGCATTCCCTGCTTGTGTAGAAGTGTTGTATCTTTATAGTAGTATTAATTTGAATTTCGCGCTAAAAACTTGCACGATTCGGTACACAGATTGTCAACGCGGAAGGTCGGTACGACTAGAAGAGAGTACTACGAGAAAGCATTAACGCCGCACTAAAAAGGTTGTGATCTCGCTCAAAATATTGTAGATCCAAAAAACTGAATAATGTTTGTCATTGTGATTAGCGATTAGACTATGGCAACCGATGGAGAATTTTTCAAGTAACCACCAGCAATAGCATTGGGCCTACAGAGAAAAAAATCAAGAACAATGTGGAGCATCAACGTAAGAATTGTGCAAGCGTCGGATATTCTTTCGGGTTCATTGATGTTTGAACTTAACAGTCCGCTAAAAACACATTCATGAGGTTAATTCGCTACAAGAAGGTATTTTCTCATTATAGTGCGTTGGGTTGGTTCAAAAAAGTATAAGAATATTGCTATTCTGGCTACCAGCATGAAATTTGGCATACATGATGAGAAATATATAGAAAACAAAAAACCATCGAGACACAAACTGTGTCTGGAATATTTCGTCCGCCATTTTCTAAAATGGCGGCCGAAAACTAGATTTTTGCTGATATCTCAAGAACGGTGCAAAATTTTGGAAGAGTTCAAATTTATGAAATAAAGAACATTACAAGGCGGACATTTTTTGTCTGAAACATTTTTGTGTGAGGCTGATATTAAAGTCAATAAATTGAATATATTCAGTGGAAAATCCTCGTTTTCTCAAAAAATCATTTGAAATACCAACAATTACCCCGTTACCAAGTCTCCCTACCTATTCATAAAAATCCTCCTTACACACGTGTTCATCTAGAAATCTAGAAGATCTTTTTTCACTCTAGAATATACCGGGTGGGGCATTTATCTTGAGACAAAATCATATCTCGCTTGTATTCGATTATTTCGAAAAAAAAAATCTGAGAAATATTGTACTAGACCGGAAGTGGGGCCTTCAGAGCGAAAATCGATTTTTTTAATAGAAACACCCATTGTTCAGCACAGATTTGGATTGGAAATCATTGGCCTTACATTATTTGTCTGAAATGTCTTTCGAAATAATCGAGTCGAACCGAGATATAATTTTGTTTCAATATAAATGCCTTACCCGGTATACCCACTTTGATCTCTCACTCAATTTTTCACACCCGATGTTTAGCGAAGTCTTCAGTAAATGTATGCAGTGTGATAACAATAAAAAACAACTATTCAAACTACTTTCTACCAAAATAAAATCACTCGAGACTGATGGAAAGTCAGTGATTTGCACTGATGAAGAATCAGTAACATCTGTTGGTCCGTTAGTTGATGGTGTTGATCTCGCACCATGCTCACATGAAGAAGTAGATACTAGACTTCTCATTCACGTAAAAAGTTCAATATTGTCAGGCCATTAAAACAAGTTGAAGCAAATGGGTATGCAAGATATTTGGTTTGATTCTGGAGTTGCAAAAAACAGACGCTATTTCTCACTGTCAGTGATCCTGCGAGGACTCTCTGTTGAAAAATGTGCTGCATTACCATTTTTTCATGCGTATTCAGGATGTGATACGATATCATCGTTTCATGGTATTGGTAACGAGAGCTTGGAATGTATGGGGAAAGATGCAAGGAATGACAGACGTATTCATCCGACTGCCATCAACAGATATAATAACTAAAGAAGATTTTGATAAGATTCAGCTTTTCACTGTAATTATGTATGATGTTACCAGCCAGACAGAAACAGTGAATGAGTGTAGAAGAATACTGTGCACTCAGAAGAATCTAAGTGTGCTAATATTCCACCAACCGAAGCAGCATTGCGTCAACACCTGAGGAGAGCAATGCTTCAGTCGCGTAATTGGATTAAATGCCTGGAATTGCAACCATATATTCCAAATGCAACTAACTGGGGATGGAAGTCGGCAAATCTGGAATGTCAAGATGAAACGATTGAATCACTTTGGACAGTTTTGCCACAAGCATTTGATGAATGTACAGAATTGATCAGCTGCAGATGCAAAACAATGTGTATTAAGAACTGCAAATGCAATAGATTTAATTTGCAGTGTACTGCTCTATGCACGTGTGATGGAAAGTGTGCTCAATAAACATTATTTGTAATACTGTGTTGTATTAGTTAGTTCACCAAGATTCCTACTGATCTAATCCTACCTAATTAAACATCAAGTCTATAACATGATTGATATATTATTTTATTTAGATTAAAATAATTGTCCGCCATTTCACATAATGGTACCTTCGGTTTGAATCCTCAAGGAAGAGTTCATCATACAGATAACTCATGATCATGATTTCTGTGGCTAATCTTTGCCTGAATGTTTCCATTTTGATTTTTTCTTGAGAAACCTTGAAAAATTGAATTCTAATATTTCGATTATTGGATTTTTGATTCATCTGACAAAAAAATTTTTCGAACAAAAAATGTCCTCCTTACTATCCTCTATATTTCATCAATTTGAACTTTCCCGATATTTCCCACCGTTCTGGAGATATTAGCAAAAATCCAGCTTTTTGTCTCCATTTTGAAAAATGGCGGCTGAAATATTCCAGATACAGCGTGTGTCCCGATGGTTTTTTGTTTTTTATATATTCATCAACATGTGTACCAAATTTAATAGCAATATCCTTGTGCTAACATAACGCACTATTATGAATCAACTCCCAATATTCTTGCTGGAAAAAAGGATAACATCGTGTTGGAATATACTTACCTATTTTC